GAAGTGCAGCTCCTATGCACGCATGCACATATTGCAGCTACGCGTAGAGTACAAAGTCGTACAACGTCGTCCGAAGAGGCCAGGTCACTGAACAAGCGCTCGACCCGCTTGAGCTCCTCCTCCTGCACAGCATCGCAGAGTGCTTGTCACTTACGGGTAGTGGAGCACAAGCTTGTTAGGCATTTGAACGCCCCACTTCCCTTTTCTAATTTCCAAAACCCTACGAACTTTTCAGGCATTTGAACCGGTTGAGCTTCAAACTTTGGGGATGCTCCTCGTCGTCTGGAGGTGTGCTCCCAGATGCCTGCAGCAGCGAAGCAATGTGAGGCAGGGTTTTGGCGCCAAAGGCTCGGCGAAGGAGGTTAGTCCAACAACACTCCTCTCTTTGCAAACAGTCGCTGCCTTGTAGATGTCAGGACCCAGGAGAGCCGGCTCAAGCGCCGAAATCCATATTGTGAAAGCTGTGCAAGCACCGAGCAAACCACACAACCTTCCGCTTGGCCCAGGAGTCCGGGCCAGTCCGGGCAATGCACTCTGAATGTGAGGTTTGCTCAGAATGGAGCTCCAATGAGACAAAGCTGGAATAGCCATTGAAACCCTGAACTGGGAACATTGATTTCTAGGGCAGTGGGCCTGGTCAGGACTCTTGGTGAAGCCATTCGTCAGCGTCTTGGTAATCTTATTGACCACCTGCATGACCTTTGCATCACGTGGCTGATGTATCCAAACCCCACTCCCTGCAAGCCCTACTACTTGGAGGTTCATGGTACTTATTAACCAATTATAGCTGTACTTATGACCAGTTGACTCCTACTTGACTCGGGCCCTTGCGGACTGAAGCCATGCAGTGTTCATCAACGTACACGGGGAACAGCGGGAACACTGGAGACCCAGCAGCTCCATCAATGGGCGCCATACCGTCATGTACTGTCTGGAGTTGGAATGTATACGTGGAGGTTCATTTGGGTAGCTACAAGTAGGGTTATAAGTATGGGAACTAGACTTCCAACCCTTAGAACCCTACAACTACCCATGAACCTCCAAGTAGGTTCATTGCTCATGAGCTTGAAGATGAGTTTTAGGAATGCCTTCCGATTTTTGGGGCGTGCCGCGCAGGGTTCACAGTCTAGGCCCAGGCTGGCGGAGGGAGGCTGCGCACACCCGACGCCGGTCTTCGATCCTCTGTGCTGTGGCGTTGAGTGCTGAGGCCAGTGCTGCCAGCGACACAGAGAGGCTCGCCATGGGCAAGTGGCAGTTCACCGAACCTTCGCAGGGGCTCTGGACGAACCACTGCGGATCTCTGAGTCGGCTCAGTGCCGCCACTCTTGAGACTTTTGAGCTGTTTTTTTTCTGGATGGCCCTCAACCCTCGAGGCCCCCGCATCTCTCTCTCTCTCTCTCCCCCTCCCTCCCCTGAAGCTCAGCAGCGAAAGGGTAGCCGCTGCGGTACTCCTTGGCGTGCTTCCTGTTGCTGCCAGAAAGCAGAGTAGCCCAGCCTCATCAGGGTCGGGTCTGATTCGGCTGATGCTCTGGGATGGCCATGGGCATAAGGGTTAAGGGTTTAGGGCTTAGGGCATAAGGGTGGAGAAGTGGATTGTGCCGTCTTCGGTGGCTCCCTCGCTTCAGACTCCCAGACGGAATAGGACTGGCATGTGAGCAGCAACCATTCCAAAACAAATCATACCAGCGTAGACCCCAAACAGTGAGAGACGACGTGAGCCCGGACGTCTAAACGCAACGGAAGCCAGATGTTAAATAGCGACAACAGTTTCGCATCTGGGAAACCCAAAGCTGCGACAGTTTCGCAGTTGGCGAACACGAGCGTCCAGAAGCGGCGCGGTTTTGTGCATTTGGCGAACACAAATTCAAGCGTTCGCAGCTTCGAGGATGGTAAGAGCAGCCACGCCGGCGCCTAGGCAAGAGTGCGATTTTTGTCCAAAATGAGAACAAGCTTCGAGAAAACACACAAGTCCCAGGCGGCGCACGCCGCGCAGCAACATCTACCTATCCCGCTTGCCCTGAACGGTCCTCGCAGCCAGAACCCTTGGGCCAAAATGGCATAAACACCCTAAACCCTACACCCTAAACCCCAAACCCTAAACCCCAAACCCTTTCACAGCTGTACTGGGAGTCCCGAAGCCCCCCCATCTGGGATCTCAAAGCCTCCCAAGCTTGAAAGGCCGAGTCGCTGTACGTTCTCCATGGGCTCAAGGACTTCGTAGCCACCTGTTGTGAAGCAAGAAGGTTAGGGTTTAGGGTTTAGGGTTTTGGTTTTTGGGTTTTGGGTTTGGGTTTAGGGCACCCCCAAAAAAAACTCAAACTTCGCGGCTTCTCAGGCCAAGGGGGTTTAGTGGAGGGCTTCCTGAATTTCTTGCCTTGAACTTGTCAAGCTAAGATTTCAGGTTCGGGGTGAATACATAGTTGTTTGGAAAGCTCGAAAATGTGGGGTAGAATGGGTATTTGGGGGCAGCCTGTATTTTCAGACGAAAGTACAGGGCAGCAATGTCGGTTGAGAGTCTGGGAAAGTGGGTTTTCCGAAAACGGCATGGTGATCCCAAAACTTGTTGCCTGCTTCCTTGAGCCCTTCGAAAGCCCTTTACCCTAAAACCCTGAACCCTCAACTCTAAACCGGAAAAGAACAAGCCCTGTCAGCAAAGTTCCAGTGCTGCAAGGCCTTGCTTTTTTGGACTGCTGCCAAGTGCACTAGCACCGGCTGCCACATGCATGAACTGTCTCCGATGAGTCTGAGGGCCCGAAGCTCCAACTGCTCAGGGTTCGGGTTTCTCAAGGGACCAAAGGAGGGACCCTTTTCAGGGCCCTTAGGGTTTATTTGGGGGGCTTCTTTGGGGGCTGCTTAGGAATATAAGGACTATATAAAGTATATATAGGGGTTATGTAGGGGAATACGATTAAGGGTCCCTTCTCGTCCCTCCTTGTACCCGGACCCTTAAGTTTCGGACTTTTGGAGACATCATGGTCCTCGCGGAGTTCAGTCAAGGAGTAAAGGCACTTTTGCTGCTATGGTCCCTGATGACACAGAATGGCGCACGTGTCTATCAGGTTTAGATTCCGCAGACATGTTCAAGATTCACGCACACCGCGTAAGCCTACCTAGCCCGTGCCGACGTTGCGCGAACACAGCGGGGTGCTGTAAACAAACCGCTATGTCCATCATCATCCTCAGTATTACCTTCCTATCCCCTCCAACTCCCATTGAACACGTAGGTACGGACCTAGTGGATTGGGAGGGTCCTGGTATCTCCGTGGTTCCCCAGAAGCTCTCCTCCTTCCTTTACTCCGGAGGAGCTCGCCATCGTTGGGCAAGCTGGTCGGCTGCAAATTCAGCCCACCCTAAACCCTAAACCCTAAACCCTAAAGCCTAAACGCAAGTGCCTAAGGGCCTTCTGCAGGGTTTCGGGTGTGGGTAGGATGTCAGGAACGAGCTAACTTAGAAACCTGCCGCGATTGCAGCACGCATCGCAGCTCAGCCATGAGGGAATCCGGGTATTGAGGCCGCGCTCACGTCCGAGCCGGCTTCCGAAATTCGTCTGGGTCCTCGGTGAAGGAAAGCCCAGACTCACCTGTTGTTAAAGCTTCGTTTAGCTCTAACCCCTTTTCCTGTTTCTTTTTTGCCCCAGGCTCTCTGTCACCCTGTTTGCCCTAAACCGTTTAAACCCTGGACATCGAAGTCTGGTTGCGGGTTCTGGGCTGGAGACCATCACCCTAAACCCTAAACCCTAAACCCTAAACCCTAAACCCTAAACCCTAAACCCTAAACCCTAAACCCTAAACCCTACTGTAAACCCCCCTAAACCCTAATCAGCGGCTGCGGCTCGCTGCCAGGGTCTTCCCCGTAACGGCAGCATGGGTCGCCTCTGAGCCGGTCGGTGGTCCGAATCCTGCATCGGAGTTCTGTTTGGGGTTTTAGGGTTTCAAGGGTTTAGGGTTGATTTTGGGGGTTTAGGGTTTTAGGGTTTCAAGGGTCTAGGGTTGATTTTTGGGGTTGAGGGTTTTAGGGTTTGGTTTAGGGTGTAGGGTTTAAGCTACTGCTTGCCCAGCAATCCTATTCTAATCTGGGCACCCTTTTTTGGGTTGGTTTCTTTACAAGAGAACCCAGAGCCCCCAAAAAACAAAAAGGTAAAGGGTACCCGTGGGCTTCCAAGTTTGACTACTCCCAGTGCTATATGGTCAATCATTAGGTCAGTTCGTTGAAGATGCCGCTCAAGCCCCATGTGGGTATTTCCCCTACCCTTTATACCGCAAATAGAGTAGAATCCCCCCTAAAAGGACCCCCAGAAGGGTACCCTATTTTCGGTAACCCCCCCAAAGAGACCAACACCCCTTAATTGAGGAAGACACCTGAAATCATGCCAAGGATCCCTATATGGTTTAAGGACATAAACCCTAAACCCCAAACCCTTTTTGCAACTGGACTCCTTGCTGCCAGGACCGAAACTCTTCTTCGAAACCCTAAACCCTAAACCCTAAACCCTAAACTTTGATTAAGGGGTAATGGGCTCTCTGGGCCCCATATGGATTCTTTGAGCGCGGCGGAGAGCGGGAAGGGTCCTCTTCTGCTGTCGCAAATGCATCCAAATCACCTCGGATGCAAAGATGGAGCCGGCAAGCTGTCCCCTTAAATAAGGAACATGCCTTACATCATATTAAGGATCCTTGCAGCATCTAGGGTACGTTCCTTATTTACGGGGCATTGGGTCTTTGGGTCGTTCCCAGAAAGTTCCGCAGTTCCGCAGCCCCAAAACTCTTATCGTCCTGAGAGCTTGGACCATTCCGGAGGTCAGGCAGGCGTGCAGCGATGGCCCCACTACAAGATCTAAACAGCACCGTAGCGTCGTGCAGCGGAGCTGAGTGCTAGTGTGTAGGCTTTATGTACAGACCGGGCCAAGAACCACAGAGCCAAACAGTCCGGTCTCACCCGGGCAGAGCCCTGAAACCCCACAAGGCTGAGCTCAGGAGCTTCCCCTGTAACATGTCACTACCTTACGGCGCTTTGCAATCGCCCAGGTCCCAGGCCCCACCACCGCTTTCACCCAGATCCACTTCTGTTCCCAGTTCGGACAAAGTTCCTGCGCCCCCGGTCGGGGTGTGGAAGACTTCGCGGTATGCGGCCTTCGGCAGCTTATGTTCAAACTTCTTGCAGAAAACGCTCTTGGCAGTTCTATTCGCCAAATTCATCTGGATCAAATTCAACAGCAGTGGTTGGAAGCACAGCCGCGGCCTCTACTTGTGCATCGCTGTCGAACACCGGCACGGCTGCAGTGAATGGATCCACGGCGTCGTGGTGTGCCTTCGCTCCGTACGAGAATTTCCTAAAATTGCCATGCAAACCCACATGGCATGCTCTGCCTGCTAGTGAAGATGGTCCTTCTCACCTGCGCACATATCATTCTAATCAAGCGATGCAGTTGCTGTTCGTCGGGGCCCTTTCAAAATCAAAGCAGGGGCCGCAACCCAGGCCTGCTCTGTAAACTCACAGGGTTCGGGGTAGCTTTGCGCATGTTTCAGGGAGGGGAGGGGGGTTTGAGGCGATGAAATTCCAATTTGCCGGACAAGCACTGTGGGCTGGCACGGATGCACGACTACGGTTCTTTCTCTTTCTCTATATGTACACATGTATATATATATATATGCCATATATTTGGAGCCACACTTCGTTACCTGGAAATATCCAAAAGGTTCGGTTGGGTAGGCTTTAGGGTTTAAGGTTTAGGGTTTAGGGTTCAGGGCTTAGGGTATAGGGTAGCGGTGTAGCGTCTACCCAGTACGACACCAGCTGCCAGCCCCTCGTGCCTCCTTGAGAAAGTCGGGGCCGGATGTCTTCGTGCGAACTTTGTCCTGGCAGCTGCGGCTCAAGCGCCCAGCGCCATGAGGCTTGAGGCTTTGTCTTCATGGCTTAGGGTTTAGGGTTTTAGGGTTTAGGGTTTAGGGGGGTACGTTACATTCCCGAAGCCGACGTCCTCCAGCCATGCTGCCAGCTCCAAGGCCTTTACAGTCCTTCTACTGCTTGCTAGTCTCTCAGGCTGATGCCTGACTTCTCGGCAGCAGACCGCGGGATCAGCATGGAATCAGTTTGTCATAAACCGGGTACAGAACATTAAGCTCTAGCCTCCAAAGGGCCCAAGATCACGCATGCTGCATGAAATCTCGCAGACTCTCTACATGCAACGAGAGAGGCCACAGGACCATAGGAGCCACGCGCCTCCTGTCGCTCATGTTTGGTCTCTCTCCAAGGGGCCTGCTTCTCCCGCAGCATGTGGAATTTCATCCAGATCAGGAAGACGACGCTCCCCACAGCGCAAACGGCGAGGATGAAGGAATAGCAGCGCCTGCAGATCAGTGCCAACTCAGGCCTGCTCAACGTTCGGGTCCCTGTTCTGGGGTCGACTTCATAAGGAACTTCATAAGGATTCTTTAAACAGGTACATGTCTCTTGAACAACACGGACAAACCCTCCCGGTTCGGGATTTTGCATGGCCTGAAAAACAAACCCGGGATGTTCCCCCTTATACGAACAGTCCTATTATAATCCCTACTAAGGACTGTTAGTACAAGGGGGGAACGTCCCAACCTTGTGGGCAAATCGCCGTTTCCGATGCTCCCAGGCGACAAAGCACGGCTGCAGCCGCAAAGGAAAGCCCGAGCTAAAAAGCATGAACGGCTACTTGGAGGTACATGGGTAGCTAGAAGTAGGGATCTGAGCATGGCAATCATACTAATAACCCTAAACCCTACTTCTACCTACCCATGAACCTCCAAGGTTCCTAAACCCTAAACCCTAAACCCTAATCGGCGCTGCAGCCCAGGCACCACATGGCCGGTGTGTTTGGGTAGTTGGCCTGGTAGTAGAGCCCCAGGAGCACGCAGCAGACCAAGACCTGGGTCAGGAGGCTCTCAGGATGTCTAACCCTAAACCCTAAACCCCTCCCAGTTTTTCTGGGGGTTTTGCTGGTTTTTGAATTGCTACCAGTTTGAGGTTGGCCCCAGTCCTGGCATGAACCGGCTGATAGTCGGCGATGCAAGTCTCCTGTAGCATGCTGTAGCTGCCAGGCGGCCGAGGAAAGCATCCCTAACCAAAGGAACAGCTGTGCGATGGGGTAGAGGAAATGATAGTGGTTCACCTTCAGGGCACGGGTGAACGAGAGTCCAGCAGCTCACGCCATGAAACAACAACCATGACGTCAGGTTTCCAATCGCCTACGTGACATCTCAAAGCTGAAGGCCTATTTCTAACTACGCATGAAAGGCGAAACAATTCTCGACATGACTAGCAGCGAGGACGCTTCTATGGCCTGCAAGAGGGACCACAGTTCACTTTCTTAGCATTTCAAAGCTAAACCCTAGACCCTAAACCCTAAAGCCTCAAGCCTCAAGCCTAAACCCAAAAACCAAAACCCAAAACCCCTTTTTTCCATCTGGGCTGGGAGTTGATGCCAGAAAAGTAGCATGCCCGACCTGGTCAGCACCTAACTGCCTGGGACGAACTGTGCCACTCAAGACCCTAAACCCCAAACCCTAAGTGGCACACGCCTTCTGCAGCAAGCCCTCTGCAATGAGCTTCACCTGGAGAGGCTTAGGGCTTTCATCTCTGTTCTTCACCTGCGTAGCCTGCGGGTGTTACTTTTCTGTCCGTGCTCCGAATTTGGGGCTTCGGGTTCTTTCATGGGTAACAGGTAACAAAAGTGTTGTGAGCTTGGTTTTGTTGGCTGGCTTGAAACGGAGCCGAGTCGTTCAGAAGGCCACCTCATCCTCAGCGATGCGCCCCACCGTGTCTTCGTAGAAGAACGTGTAGAAGTTGCCGAACCTCGGACGGATAAAGGGTCTAGGGTTTGCCGAACCTCGGACGGATGGTTGCAAGACACCCAGAATGCACAAAAGCAGCTGCAGAGGTGTCATCTGTTTAGGGAATTCCGTCGGCGCAACATTGGTAGCGCTGGACCGCCATGTCTCAAAACTGTATGCCTGCAGAATCAAGATCCCTTCTGGTAGAATGCGCCGGACTTGCCCACAGAGCCCAATGCCCCTTAAATAAGCAATATACCTTAAGCCATATTAAGGATCCCTTTCTTTTTAAGGGGTTATTCCTTAATTAAGAGGTATTGGGCTCTCTGAGTGTTTAGCAGGAAACTAGCATAACTGGCGCAACAGCATCTGAATCTGAGCCCTCTTCATGGGTTGGATGAAAGCTTCTACCCCCTAAACCCTAAATCCTAAACCCATCTGCAATGCGAGTATACGCGAATATTGCATCTGAGACGGCTTTCGCTCCTGGAGGAAGAGTTATAATTAGGGTTGTAAGTATCGTATTTATACATATAACCCCACTTAGGGTACTTCTAACCCTACTTAGAACTACCCATGAACCTCCAAGTAGTTCCAATGCAGTTGCAGAGGATACTTCGACTGAGACACTGTCTTCGCAGGCCGCCCTTCAAAGCCTGGTGCAGCGAGGGGTAGAAGCAAATTCTTCTGGGCTTGAGGCTACAGCTGTGGAAAGGGAGGGAGCTGGCATCCAGAGACCCCATAGCTGCATATAAGCCCCTGTCGCTTAGGTACGGAAGGCCATCATGAAGCAGAACTAGGCATAACTCTGCATGCAAGTTTTAAACCCAAAAGGCCTACAAACCTAAACTCAGGTCCAACAAAACACAAGCCCTACATGCTAAACCCTAAACCCTGAGCCCTAAACCCTCAACCCTGAGCCCCACCTTGCCAAACTCTTGGTGCTTGTGCGAGGTCTTGCGGCCAAGGGCTGGCGCACTGCGCCCACGGAGGACGCTGCCTGGGGATGCTTTGGAAGCCTCAATTAAGGAATATACCCCAAACTAGAAAGGGATCCTGAATATGGTTTAAGGTATATTCCTCATTTAACGGGCTTTGGGGAGGTTCGAGGACTCGAAAGAGACGCTGAAAAGCCCTTTGCTGTAGAGCGCTTCGGTTTCATCGCGATGGCAAGAAGGCAAATTGGATCTGGTCGCCCTGTTTGAGCGTTCTTACAGGCAGCTCCCACTCCCACCAGCTGCTTTTGGGGGCTTACCGTGGTTTCCCCCCAAGGACACTTGCAAGGGAGGAGCAACATTCCAGGGGCAGTTACTTGTTCGACTCTTGCTATCTCTTGCTGCTCATTGCAGTTTGGGGCTTGGGGAGACATGCGTCTTACCCGAAACCCTTTTGCAGCAGGCTTGCGTGAGTCCTCGCCTGGATCAGGTTACCCTAAACCCTAAACCCCTTAAACCCTAAGCAGAGATTGAACCTAGCCATCGGTCAACAATCTCAGGCAGCGTGCTCGGCTGCCGGGAGGAGGAGGCGGAGAGCCTGGGTTAAGTTGCCAGTTTACAGGAGCTTCTGCAAGTTTGGCTTTTCGGCTTTTTAGGCTTTTGCTTGTAGAAGCCCTGATGCATGCCAAATGAACGATTCAAATCAGCAGCTGGAGTCTACTAGGACCTAAGCTGCTCTGACTACGTGCTGTTACATGGAGATGCCTGCCCCCCATCCCTACGCTTCAACTGGGGGTCCTGATCGTAGCCCTAAACCCTAAACCCGAAGCCCAAAACCCTAAACTCAAGGCCGCAACACTAAACTGGGGTGCCGCTTGTGGCGCTGGCTCGAGGAGACGTGGTGCGGAGATGGCACCTGGTCGCACTTCTATAAGCTAATATTTGCTTAAGAACCCCCAAAGAAGAAAACATAATAATCCCTATAGTACCTTTCTAAGGAAGAATACTCTGATTCTTTTTCCGGGGGGGGGGGGGTTCTTAAACAAATAGTAGTAAAGAATGAGCTTTTGAGTTTGGTGACAGATGCAACTCACTCACGTTCAGCACATGCCACACGCCCTGCTGCATCTTTGTCCGTGGGCACTTTGAGCCCGATATGAACACACCACAACTCAACAAAGTTAGGCTTGGGGATGTCAAGGGCTTATACTACTAGTTGCGTAAGAACCCCCAAGAGAATAATCCCTTTATTACCCTTCTAAGGCAGACTATTTGTCTAAAGAACATATTGGTATGTTTGGGGGGTTCTTCAGCAAATAGTAGTAACGGCTTAGACTGTTGCATACTGTTGCTCCACCTAAACCCTAAACCCTAAACCCTAAACCCTAAACCCTAAACCCTAAACCCTAAACCCTAAACCTTCAGGGTTCAGGAAGTGGAGGGTTCAACTTCCCTCTAAGCACTGCCTCCGGACTCCGCGGGGAAAACGCTTTGGATTCCAAGGCGTCCAAGCGGTCCCGGCGTAAGGCTTTCAGCAGGTGCCTCTGTTGGGTTAGGGGTTTGGGGTTTGGGGTTTGGGGTTTAGGGTTTAGGGTTTAGGGTTTAGAGGGTTCAGGGGAGGTGCCTCTGTTGCCTGAGGGCTTATTTTTTGGGCAATGTGTCCTACAACGTGACTGGTGTTGAAGAGGGAAGAATGAAACCGCGCTCTATTGCTAGTCTAAGTTGGGGTTACGTACATCACACAAGCAGAGAACATGATTTTCAATTTCACGGCTGAGTACAACCAACTCACCGACTTTGGCCATGATAACATCGGGAGGGTCATCATCTCATCTGGGCCTTTTATGTCTCATGCGCACATTTTTAATATTGTTGCGCCCTCTTCTATAAAAGTCAAGCTTGCCAGGCCATCAGGATCTGGCCACTTGAGGGGCCCTATTATGTCAAGCTGTTTGGGGCCGAGTTCATTGTGCTTGCCCTCGCTTTCTTGTGGCATCAATCTTGAACCCTGAATTCATGAAACTCAGAGCCACACCTCCTTTCCAAGACCCTGAAACCCGGAAGACCGGCCGAGGCGAAGGAAAGAATTCCATCATAGTTCATTCTTCGCATAAAGAAATTAAGCATGTATGTATAAATAGAATTTTAAAAATATAGATATATGGTACCCCCCCCCCCCCCCCCAGTGACCTACCCTTTTTCGCCTTGTCTCAAGTCACCCAGCTGCACTGCAAGCAAACTCGGTGTGCAATATCGCGTATTTCCCAGGGCGTAGACTAAAATACAACTAAAATCGCATACACGGGACAGTAGAAAAACCAAAAAAACCAAAAAACCAAAACCAAAAAAACCAAAAAAACCAAGACCAAAAAAACCAAAAAAAACAACAAAAACCAAAAAAACCAAAAAAACCAAAACCAAAAAAACCAAAAATACCAAAAAACACCAATTTTCCGGGACTCTCAGGAAATCCCTATGAGGCTTCTCCAAGAGTCCCGGACAATTGTTTTTTTTGGCATTTTTGGTTTTTTTGGTTTTGGTATTTTTGGTTTTTTGGTTTTGGTATTTTGGCTTTTTGGTTCGCCTTCACGGTCACGGGGCAACAACTACGCATTTTTAAGTGTGCTTATGCTAATTGTGCTTTTCAGAAATAGTATACAAGTGGTCTTTCTAGTGCTTCAGAACTATTTGTTTCGTTATTATGTAAGTAGAGCCGCCAGTGTTTAGTGCATCTTTTGGTTGTACTCAAGTGTAGTAGACCTTATTCAGCCATTACTTGGTGCTCTGGTAGCTCAATTCGCATGGATAATATTTGCCTGGTAAATGCGATTAATTATCTAGAAGCAGCATTTGCAATACTTGTCTTGAGAAAAAGCATTTATAAAAAGTGACTCCTACTCGTCCAGGAATACCCCAAAACCCTATAATCCAAACTTTACCAGAGATTCTCCTGAAAAGCTTGCGCTTTTGGATGTTTTTATGTATTTGTGAATTTGCTTGTGTATGGCCTTCACTAAGTACTTTTCTAGGATTCTTGTGCATTTTTTAAGCCTGATTGTGCAAGTTGCGTTTTTCAGGCATGGTATATATGTGGTCTTCATTGAATACTTCAGACATCTTTTTTTCATCGTTATGTAAGTAGAACAGCTTCTATTTCCATTATTGTGCATTTTTAAGCTTGCTCATGCAAATTGTGCTTTTCAGACATAGTATATAAGTGGTCTTTAGTGAATACTTCAGCAATCTTTGTCTCATTGTTGTGTAGGTAGAACCGTTTCCATTTCCGCAAGTGTTTATTTCGTATTTGGTTAAGTATGGTCCTTTACATAGTATTCACTTGAGTCAAATTGGGCTATTTGCTTCAGAATTCCTCTAGTAGTTAAATTCGCATAGAATGAATACTTCAAAAAAAACTGTTTCATGAATATGTAAACATAAGGTGTTTCATTTGACTTCGCAGATAGTACTTCAATAATACTTTGCCTGGAATAAACACAACTGTTTCAATGCATTCATTAGTTGCTCAACAAAGCACTGTTTGCCCTTTAAACCACACTTTGCCATATGTTGGTTGAATATGGTGCTTCTTTCGTATTTTGGTTGAGTATGGTCCTTTAAATGGTATTCACTTGAGTTAAATTGGGCTATTTGCTTAATAATTACTCTAGTAGCTAAATTCGCATAAAATGATTATTTCAAAAATAAAACGATTCATGAATATGTAAACATAAGGTATTTCAGTGGACTTTTCAGAGAGCATACTTTGCCTAGTACAAACACAATTGTATAAATACAGTATTTGCACTTTAAACGCACACTTTGCCATTTTTGGTTGAGAATGGTGTTTATTTCGTATCTTGGTTGAGTATGCTCCTTTAAATAGTATTCACTTGAGTCAAGTTGGGCTCTTTGCTTAATAATATTACTCTAGTAGCTAAATTCGCATAGAACCAAGAAAAATGTTTCACTATTTGATTAATACTTTGCCTCGTACAAACACAACTGTATAAATAAATTAGTTGCTCAACAAAACATTAATTGCCCTTGAAACGCACAACTTGCATAGACAAACACTGATCTAAACATCTAAAAACAGCATTGTCCGCTTCAGATTCAAAATGTAGATTCTTCCAATGCTGGCTTATCGGGGTCTGTGAGGTGGGTGTCCCAGTAACTGTCCTTCATTACCCGGTGATTAACTACGCGACTTTTGGGCCTTCTTTGTTATTTTTTGTTAAAAAGGCCTAAAAAAGGGTAGGTCGCTGGGGGGGGGGTAGCAGATATATACATACATATACATATATATATATATGACACAGGTGTATATACAGTTGCCTGCAAGTCGCATGGCCATAGCTATTCAAACTCGTTCAGCTCGAAAGCCCTGTGAGCAAGAAAGGGGGCCGAGCTGCTTCTGCAAGTCGCCCATGACGTCCTGCTGGCAGAGCTCCACTTCCTGGTGAGATTTGTTTAGGGTTTAGGGTTTCGGGTTTCGGGTTTAGGGTTTAGGGGTCCGGGACAAATTCTGGGGCTTAGAGGGCTTTCTGGGTTGGTTGGGTTGTTCGGGCTCGTCAAGAGGACTCTCTTACGAATCCCAAGCCCTATCAACCCCGCAAACCCTTTTTGTATCCAGGCTTCTGGCAGATTTCACTATAAACCCTCTCTCTCTCAGGCAGTATCAACTCTGGCTCTATAAACCCTAGGCCCTCAAACCCAGTTCATGGTTGGGATAATGTGAAAACTTGAAATTTCTATTCCTTCTTGGGCTGAAGTACCCTTAAACATGTAAAATGGTACCCAACCACGACAAAGAAACCCAACCGTTTTTCTTTGCAGACCCAGGGAGCGAAGCGGGCCGCGATGGTCAGCATCAGGCAGAAAAGTGGAAAGACCTGGCTGTGCCCCCATACCTAGACCCGCGAGCGATCGAGAATTCCCTTAAAAAGACGCCAAAAAAAAGACCCCACCAATCTGGCAAAGGGGTGGTCCCAGGAGCCAGGCTTACCTCGAATCATGGGTGCTTCGGGAACCGCTTGAACGGGTCCGGGGTCTGGAATTCGATGCTCTGGCCTCTTGGGTTAAAGGGGGAGAGACCGCAATCCCTTCCCAGGTGGTTTGGGGGGGTCCGTAAGCCTTCAGCGTTCTAATCCGTTCGTAAGTAATTAATCTATATAAACTTCTATAAACGCCGTAGACCGTTTGAAGAGAGCACAGACCAGCTTCGACTGCTCATGGGGGAGCAAACTAAAGCAGAACAACACCGAACCCTAAACTCTAAACCCACCACGTCAATGCCCCTCCGGGGGCCCCTGCCAGAGCTAAGGCCGCCAGTATCGCATACGCAACAAGGAACACCTGCGCAGGGTTGCTGTGCTTTGGAGTTTCGAAGCTGGACACTAGAGAGCTGGGATTTCAAGGCATATTAGGAGTAGAGGTTCTGAGACAGAAAAGACGGCATTCAGGGCATGGCGGGTGGGCTGCTCAGAAAGGTTCTAAGTTTTGGGTCCCCTTATTGCTGCTACTGCACCCTTAACACAAGAACTCCGAAAGGGACTCGAATTTAGAGAACAAACTACCCTTCAACACTCAGAGCATGGCATCTTGCTTTGTCAGCTTTAAGCTGAGACACTCATGCATTGAGGGGGGTTTTAGGGTTAGGGTTTACTGTCGATCGAGCCCCCCCCCCCTCGTCCCCCTCGGCCCTGCACACCCTGAATGCTCTCCCCATATGGCCTTCTGGGTCTCGTCATAGTCGTAATCACTCCTAGGCTCCAAAGCTTCAAGAGCTTGGCAAGGGACTGAAGGGCTGAAGGATTCCGAGTTGAAGGACATTGAAACGAGGGCTCAAGGTTTGGGATGTTTTCGACTAGCCGCCAGGCAAGGGTACAGATGCCCGTCGCTACGGGTAGCCTCATGGTGCCCAGCGCCTTTAGCATTCAGCTCTCCGCTTTGCTCAACTCTTCTTAGCTGGTCCTGCCAGCTCTACTCTCACAGCTCTAAAACCTGAGACCCTCCATGTATCCTGAAGGCATCTGGAACCACCATGCAAGGCCTAAGAAATCAATCCCGCGCCCTGGCGCTCTGCTGGTGGGAAAGTTCCCTCCACCACGAAACCAAAGCCGATTGAGAGCATCAGCGTCGCCACCACCTCGGAAAACGGAGCTTGGGCTTAGGCGGCTGCAGGATTGTGATTTTATTGTTCTTGTTGTGATTCTTCTTCTCATTATTGTTAGTACAGTCATTTTTTGTTATAATTAAGAGGGTAAGGCTTACAGCTTACAAGGGCGGCTGAAGTGCTTAGGGACTTGTAGGGGCTTAAGATGGTTGAAGGGGCACAAGGCCCAAGGACCCTATATTTAAACCGTACAAGAACCGTCTTGTTCGCTTCCGCATACGCAGCCGCACAGCAGGAGGGTTGAGGGTTCGGGGTTTCTTTACTTCCTGAACAGTGGAACAGCCGGGCGAACATCGCAGGGATGCCTATCGGGCGGCCGGCAACGTCAGGATAGAACGCAGCGTTTAGGGTTGGGTTTACCTCAACCTTCAACCACACCAACTGCAGCCAAAGAAGCCATGAGGTTATCAAGGCTGGAGATGATGACCGTCACCTACGGCTCTGGCATTCCCAAATGAGGCTGACCTCCTCGCTTTGTTTCGGATTGGGCTCTCGAGGCTGTGCAGTTCTGAGAGCGTGCGCCTGATCTCGCATCTCCTCCCGCACGGTGTTGAGGATGTCGATCCTCATGGGGGGCAGGAGGCAAGACGGGTGCTAAGGCTCTTGGCTCTTGGCTCTTGGCTCTTGGCTTCAGCGAAGCACTTGCCTCCCGGCCGACTCTCATCTCCGAACTGCAGCATAGCTTCTTCTTGAGACCCCCCCCACTCTATGATTCGACCACCAAGCACCAAAGCACGGTGCAGGCAAAGTAATCTCATGTGATTGCAGCTGTCGTCCTCATGCTCTGCAGGCCGATGTCATAACCTGGCTACCACGTGGCAAGCCAGGTGCAAGCTGGAAGCACACAAGCCTTGAGCCCTTTCCCAGAACCCTGAACCCTCAACCTCCTCGCAAGTTGCCATAAGTCTGCAGACTTTGCAAAGCACGATGGCCCTACGAACTCCAAGGAGCCGCCATGTCGCAGCTGTTCTAAATTACCCAGAGAGCCCAAATACCCCTTAAAACAAGGAATATATCTTGCATCATATTCGGGATCCCTGTGTAGCTTGAGGTCTATTGCTTAGCTAAGGGCGTAGCGGGCTTTCTGGGTAGGGCCTTTTAATGGTAACAGTAGTACCCAGGTCCCTTAGAAGGAAGACCACCCACAAAGGGACCAGAATAACAAATCGTCGATACGAGCACACCCTAAACCCTAAACCCTAAACCCCAAACCCTAAACCCTAAACCCTAAACTCCCCCGAGGCCTCGCCGAGACCAAGTCTCGTCTCGGTTGTAGGAATGCCATGACTGCCTGATGGGAAGCGGCAGTACTTGGAGGTTCAGGGTACTTATTAACCCAATACTAACTGTACTGAAACCCAATTGTGACCATCTTAGGGCACTGAAGGGGCTTGACAAGTGCAGTTCTAATTGGTTAATAAGTACCATGAACCTCCAAGTAGCGGGGGTTAGCACTTTCTGTTCTTATACTTCGGACAAGGGTGGGACTGTAAGTTGGAACACCGAAATGAGGTTCAGGGTTTTTGGGCCTGGGGATGTTTCTCTGGGGGCCCTAGAACTAAACCCTAGACCCTATACCCTAAACCCGAAACTGCCCTCGACTCTCAGGATCGTTCGGCTCGGGCCTTCAGGTTGGGATGTCGAGTCTGGAGGTGACTTCCAGGCCCGAGATCCAGGCAGAGAGTCTATACTAATACGAGTATCATAGAATACTATACGAATAAAATTATACAATAATTTGACTATATGTACAATATAAAATAGTCAGATATGATATAGTACTAGAAGAAGAAACACTCTAGTAATATAATGGTATAGTGCGGAACTGAGCTCAAGGGATCCAGATGCAGACCCGGTCTAAGCTTACAAGTTACAGCGTGAAGCCAAGTTGGGTCCAGGTTTTTCTTTTCGTGTTTTTTTCTGTTTTTTTCGTATTTTCATGGTCTTGGGTTTAGGGTTTAGGGTGTTTAGGGTTTTTAGGGTTTAGGGTTTAGGGTTCACCTGAAACCATAAAAACACGAAAACACAGCCAGAAAAAATACGAAAAAAGAACCATCAGCCAGCCAAGTTCATCTCTTCCGTGTCTGGGCCCTACGTTTCTCAGGCGATGGGTGCTTTCTGTCCTTCAAGCGTGCTGCGTTTGGAGTCCGGACTGCACTTGCTCTGATTCATGAGAGAGGAATAGAGCTTAGGCTAGGTTGGATTGGAGTGCGCCCAGTAGTTTAGCGCAGATCAGTCGAAGCGCAAGATTCCGATGGCTTCCCCCAGTGACAGCGTCGCTGCGGCAGCGCCCATGGCAGTTTGCTTGGCACCCGGAGGGCTGCGGGTTTAGGGTCGGAGCTTAGGCTTCTTCAGTTTGAGGCATCGAGCTCGGGCTCCAGGGCTGTCTTTATTCTCACTGGTGTGGGACAGGCCGCCAGCACATCACTTCGTGATCTGGCCGGAGGTTTCAAGAACTGATCGCGGGGCTGAAGCTGTCATGATGCTGGGCTGCTGGCTGCTGAGATAGACGTTCTCATGCACACTGCTTTTCATGTTTCTATATGTTTCGACTGCTGCGGGCTGACATTCGCAGGTCATGCTACCGCAGTGACCCCATCCACAAGCAATCCCGGCCCGGAATTTCTTGAGATCGCCCCCCTAAACCCTAAACCCTAAACCCTAAACCCTAAACCCTAAACCCTAAACCCTAAACCCTAAACCCTAAACCCTAAACCCTAAACCCTAAAGTTTTGTGGCCCCCCATAACCTGAGAAGCCGCGAAGAGCAGTGAAGACCGCGACCTGGTCCCACGACCGTGGCGCCATCCGCCGAGAGGACCTGCAGGGCGCACATGGGCCCACATGGGGTTTAGGGTTTAGGGTTTGGGGTTTGGGGTTTAGGGTTTAGGGTTTGGGGTTTAGGGTTTAGGGTTTAGGGTTTGGGGTTTAGGGTTTAGGGTTTGGGGTTTAGGGTTTAGGGTTTGGGTTTAGGGTTTAGGGTTTGGGGTTTAGGGTTTAGGGTTTAGGGCATCATACAAGAGGCTCAGTCGGTGTTACGGGCCCCTTTTCCCGCAAGGTATTCAGTGCTGGCTTTCTGAATGTGGGTCCTCTGCCTTTGCCAATCTCCGCAGCTTAAGAATTGCTGGGTAGCTGTTAGTGAATCTCTGTGGCGTCAACTTCTTGAGGCCACCGACTAGAACCTGTTCCACTAGGCACTGGGTGTTCTGCAAGTAGGTCGGACGGCTACTAAAAAGGAAGATCGCATGTTCCAGTGAGGCTAGCCAGACAGCACAAGTCTTTCTTTTCAGGTCTTCGTGCTCGCGAGGGAAAGAAGCCACGCCCAGAATCTGCTAAGTAGTAAAATATCTAAATTTAAGCCCGCCACCAGAACCCTAACGCACGTGTAGTTGTCCTAGGTGTCTGACATAATGCTGGGGGGAAGGGGGCTTGATGATTAGGAGGCAGCCGTGGGATTTCAGAGCCCCTAAACCCCAAACCCTAAACCCCTAAACCCTAAACCCACCCTTTTGTTGAAGGCCGGGCCACCAAGGATTCTTCGTCCACTGACGAGGTCACGGAGGCGTGGATTGCTTCAGCGGACACCTCATCGAGGGAAAGCGCCGTGCATGCAATCCGCGTACAGAAGCAGCAGCCGCACTACGAGGTACCAGCACGAGACACGTCCATTGAATAAACAGGTATTTGACTCAACACGTGCACCTGGATAGGGGGATGAGAGACTTGCCAGCAGTTTTTCAGTTACTCGGCGGTCACAAATCCGGCCTCCCTAACCTCCTAAAAACTCCAGCGCCTGGGTGACATCACTACTCATACACTCGGGGGAGTCCCCAAAGAGCCCAATACCCCTTAATTAAGGAAAATACCTTAAATCATACTAAGGATCTCTCTCTCTCTCTCTCTCTCTCTCTCTCTCTCATATGTATATATATATATATATCTAGTTTAAGGAACATCCCCCAATTAAGGGGTATGGGGCTCTCTGGGTCTCTGCAGCAACGCCAAGGAGCCTCCAAGCCATCCAAGCCATGATCCAGTTCAACGGCACCCGTGTCGGGGTCGATGGACTTCACCTGGTGACATCAACCCCAAAGAGCCCAATAAATACCCCCCTCAAACAGGGAATACCGCCTTATAACACCGTATGAAGGATCCCTATATGAAGTAAGTTACATTCCTTAACGAAGGGGTATTGGGCTCTCTGAGAAGAGCCTGACTAATAGAAACCAATTGCCCTGGGGGAGTTCATGTGACATTGTTTTGAGATCCGTTCTTGGAAATCCATGGGCCTTTGATCCTGAGTAAGGTACACGTTTCTTTTCACACTTTGCAAAACTACTTTGACACGCAGCACAGACAGGTGCAGTCCAGCGGCAGGCATCTGCGCCTTCAAAGGTAGCACTGCACCTTGCGTGGCTACCAGCTTGCGCCCGAAGAAGGGAAAGACAAGATTCACCACGACACTTATGAAGGCAGTGGTAGAGAGGGTAGGACAAGAGGGCGACTGTGAGAGATGCGATCTGGCTTCATAGGGGCAAGAGCTGATGGTAGGATCAAACCAGTGCAAGACAAGACGCCGCTCTTCCTCACGTCCAAGGTAAAGGTCAGCGCCCAGCCTCGACAGTTGGTTCCAGGGCTTGGACGAGGAGGACGGAGACGAGCTAGTGACGGTTCGTGTTTATTTCTGATGAAAGAAAATGGGAGAAGATAGTGAGCTTCTCATCTGCAACGATTCGGGCGCTTGCTGCGCGCCTCTTGCTCACCTCATGCAGCTGAGCCACATGACCATCATTTTGGAAGCTATGCTGAAATTCGGTCGGCAATTTGTAGGACAGTGTAGCACATGCACATCGTCTTCGAAAGCTTGAATACACAAGTATTGGAGCATGATGGAGCAACTCTGAACTTTCAGATTCTGATAAAGGCCTGAAAGCCAACTGCGCCTTGTCATGAAGCCCTCGTCTTGAACCCCAGGGGATTTAGGGTTCAGGGTTTCGGGTTTAGGGTGCAGCGAAGAAGCCACCCAGCAGCGTGCCGGGTAGGGGCACCACCGGTGCCGGAGGCGCGACCTGTGCAGTGGAGGATCTAGACTATTCGAAATCACTACATGCCTGTCAGATACTCTATAGGTTTAGGGTTAAGGTTTAGGGTTTAGGGTTCGTCCAGTCTTTACAGGGCCTCTGTGGCGACCACTACATCGAGGTGGTCGAACAGTTCTGGCTGCAAGTGCACTGAAGGTTTTGCGGGCTCGCGCTAGTAACGCGAACAGCAATTGCTGAGCAGGTGTAGTGTAGGGCTGCTGCATGTTTGCCGCAATGAATCTTGAGCCCCGAACCTCAAATTGCAGAAGTGTTCTGCATCTCACACACGGAAACATTCGCGTGGCAACCGCCACGACAACCTACTATTTGCTTAAGAACCCAAAAGAAGCCAAAATAATCATCCCTCTTGTACCCTTAGCAAGGAAGATTTTTTGTCGGGGTTCTTTGGCAATTCGTACAACCTAGCTGGAACACTTGAAGATCTGTTTCGAGTGGCAAAAAAGGTCGGAAACATCGCTTACCCACCATT